GCAGTGAAAAGTCCTCCTGAGTAGTGAAAAATGCTTACCAGAGCAAGTATCAAACGAAAATTAGTTTGTTTTTCTCAATTTCACTTGATGAAGTTGTAATGTTCTCAATTACAGTTTTCTCTGGAGGAAATTCGACGAGTTTCGTGGTTGGATGCGTCGATGTTTGCATCGACTTGCTGTTGCTATTCGGTTGGTATTGCCTTTGATTCCACTTATTTGTGCGGTTTTTTTAGCTCATCTCTTTTTTTCGGAAGGTATTTTTTGCACCCCATTTGGATGGGGAAAATTAACACGAACTAGGTTTATTATGGTTTTTATGATATCTTGGCCTCATTTTTCTCGGCATCTGGCAATCTAAAACATACAATCTATTCAAAACATGCTCACTTTTTTTGTGCAGGATAAAAGGGCTCAATTCGTAGCAACTTTCCCTTGTATTCTGTACTGCTCACATACTGGACTCCAGTCGCTGACTAGGGAGGAGGGGGTGGGGAGCGGACTATGGAAAAAATTCCGCAGGCAAAATACGAACCCCTCTCCAGTGACCAAATGCGCCTGGCCCCTTTGTTGAGCTCTAGAACCACGATTTACGTCGCGTTAGCATTCCGGGACTTTTCGGAGCGAATCAAGCTGCTTGATTTGGGAATAGCGCGCGACTGGGACTAACCGCGCTCTGATCCTCGGACTTCTGCAACTGCCCATCAAATCGCTCCTAAGGCAGAACTTTTCCGCACTGTTGCACCTGCAAACGCACCAGCGTGGAGCGCATCAGCTTACAGTCATGCGCATTCCTCCATCGTGCAGAGTGCCGCAAGTATGAATGCAGCTAGAGATCTCCCCTCAGTTTAGCTTACCACTGGAATCTAGTGCCAATCGGGACCAGTATCCCGTCTTTCTAATGGAAAGAATAGATGAGTTCTGATTTGTTAGTTCGAGGATTCGTTGACTAATCGGTAATTGCGGCTGCGGAACACCGAGTTGGGACCAACCGCCAGCATTTTGGGGACGTGTAAAGGTTAGGATCAGACCAAGCGGTAACTAATTTGGGGACTTCCCTCGCTCCCCAGACCAAGACGGCGTTCAGCTGTGGGCGGAGAGGTTTATGAAGAGCGGGAGTTTGTGCTAGTGTTTTTAACTGTCTGCTCTAGCACCCTCCCATCGTGATATCCATAGTGTTACAAGTCTTTTATACTTACTTAATGCTCAAAGCGACCTTTCGATGGTGAAGTTTAACCGCCTGCCTGACCCAGATGACTATTCCTTTACGAGAGTCCGTTGGAGTGGAAAAGAAGTGGACCTTGACGCGTCAGTACACTCACCTTATTGACAAATGACCTCTTACTAAAGGTCTACCACTTTTCGCCCTCTTATGTAGTTCCTCCCACATGTGAAGCGATTCGGTGACCCTCGTCACTTAAAAGTTCGCGGTGAATGAACTGGTGGCTCCATCAGGCACGCCATCGCTTGTGATGATTTCCTGAAAAATACGACCCCCCTAATTCCATCCTCAAATACGACCCCTCCCCATGCTACCTACCACTTTCCTAGATTTTCCCAACTTCCTACCACTTTTCCATTTTTTCCCGAAAAATTTCCAGTTTTTCAGCCAAGAATTTTCCGTCGAGCGGGGGGGGGAGAGAGGTCGTCAGGATTTAACTATCATTTTCAACTGTCGGAAACGACCCCTCGTGCCCTGGGCTCCATACTGCCGGAGTCTCCGGAAAAATGGCGTCGTGCACATTTGTCGCTGCGGCTGAAGTTTCTCTTTCAATGCAGGTCCTATTGTCGAAACAATTATCCTCTAAAAATGCTTATTGTGTAAGTATGCCTGTCTAACTGCTCTTGGCATGTGCTGTGCCTTGAAATTACATGCTGGCTGCCAAATCGTTAGGCAGGGTTATTCACGAATCTTTTATGTGCCCTGCTTCCTATGAACTGTAAAAGTGTGCCGCCGTGGGACGGTTTTCTGTTGACGATTCATGTTTTTATCTCGTATAGTTTGTGAGTAACCATGTCGGCGATTGATTCAGAATTTTGAAGCATCTGTCTCATTAGCACCATTTTTTGAACATTTTTTCACGGTTCATGATTTTTGCTGCCGTACTTAATCATTCTACAATTAGTCAATTCATGTGGCTTATTCCAAAGGTCAGGGATGGGGAAAGGTGGACCCATCGGTCCGATGTTGAAATGGAAAAAAAGAACATCACTCCTAGCAACACTACAACCAATGCGTCCAGTGCGGTGTATAGTTTGCGTTTTACCTAGGCTCCCAGATATGATATTTTAGTAAGAATGTGGCGTGGCTACGGTAGCTTATACACTACATCACGAAAATAGAGGGGGCGTGGCCCGCGTGCCTGATCATCCTGATGAGAGCAATTTGTAGGGATGCGGTTTTCAGCAGGAGCATTTCCATTCTTGACAGTGCTTGACTCCATTCTCTTAGTGTGTAACTGACACGCCGATTATGGTCACAGATGATTCCGAAAAGGCTGTTTCGCTCTGGACCGCAGTCATCTGTGGACGACGCTTCAGGTGAGGTACAGTGCAGCGCGCGCACACAACTCTCTCTCCATCTCTGGGATATGGAGTCATGTAGTTTAGCAACTATATGTAACTTTGAGTAGTGAATGGCGGATGGGGACTTGGTGCCATAAATGGCACTCAGTAAAGGTATAACAACAATTATGTCAAACCTCTCTATTCGTCTGTAGCTCATGAAGTATTGATTTATTGATTGTGGGACGTTTCAAGTATCACTATTGAGCCTGTCAGTGACTCGGTGCTTCTGGGGGTCCGATTTTGGTGCTCGCAGTCTTCGAAGTGCTGGGCGTGAATTGAGACCTGTATGATGTATGCGGTTAGTTCAGGTATTTCACGGATCTTCAGCCAGAATGAGCTCAAGCACCCGATGTAGCTGGCCTACTTGAAGACCATCACCCGCAATTGTATATTATGAATCAGCTCGCGTCCAATTTACAAACCTATAGTCACTAAATGACTCTTTAGAGGAAAAAGCAAGAAAAAAAAATCATGCTTAGGTCCACTCTAGGTAGGTAACCTGGGGCTGCCGCGCCTCCCAAGCAGTTCAAGACCTGCTTCGTTTCGTGATGTCAGTGAGCGAAGACGACTTCCTACCCCTCCCAGGCCTCACTAATAATCTTAGCTGGGTCACTATCTAACAACTATCTTACGAAGCAAAAAAAAAAAAAAAAAGTTTTTCATTATTTGAGCGATTAATGTATACCGTTTTCTGATGGGAGAGGGAATCGGCTCAATATAAGGAATTCTAGATGCACGAAGGTATACACTAAACCAGTGTTTATGCATTCTATACATCTGATACCGTTCCTTCGGACATGAGAACAAATTTGGGAGAGGTTCGAGCGTGTTTTTTATCATTGCAGTGATTTTGTAGGCATTAATCTTGGAATATGCATAGCGAACAATTTGATGGGAAAAAAAAAACTCTTTAATTGACTACTAAATAGTTTAGCCGGTAGTGGACTATCTCTATCAACGGTATAAGATCATCGAAACGGCGATTCTCATCTATTTTCTCGGTCCTGTATGCGATACGATTGTGAAGAACATACCGGAAAAGAGTCCGTTCTGTGGTAAGTGGTTTCTTGGTTTTCAGCTTGCATTGCTACCATATCTGTTAGCTATCCGCATGGGTACTAAGTTCCCGAGCTAGTTGAATCCGCTAACAGTACACCATGACGAATCAGGTCCTGGTGCGAATATCGCGTATGTGGCGACGTTTTTTGCGGATTTCGTACCTACTTGACGGGATCCTTTTGGGTTTATGTATGCACTGCTTTAAGTAAGCGTTTGCGGACTGCCTTGCCATGTTCCTCTGGTTGGTTTCTTCGAAGGGACTTGATTTTTTTTGCAAGCGTTTCGGACGCACATTGACGCACTGCAACGCGTTGTTACGCGCGCTCTGGCTTTCTGCCAGTCGCGCGCTATAATTCAACAGCCCTCCAGTTTTATAGACGCGAAGCAGCCGCAGACGGGATTTGATTAACAGAGCCTTACATCATGCCGATGTAGATACAGACTGTTTAGTTAGGTATACGAGCTGTACTTCCTACTCTCTTTAGACAAACGGCTGGTGCTGATCGATTAACGTCCATGGCCGCGTTCTATTGGAGCGCATCGCGGGCTTCATCGCGTCTGAAAGCTGCCTCAGTCGCTTGCGCATGACAGGGCAGTGATTAAAGGCACAGTTCGCGACCGCAAATTGCGGGAAACGGAACTCAAATAGGCACAAAAAAGTGCTAAGTATCTGATTAGCGGAGAAAAGCAGCAGAAAAAGCAGTCCGAAATGTTATAGAGAAAGATAACATAGTGGCTACTAGCTAGTAGCTAGCAGCCGGTGAGGGTCGGCATGGGCCTAAGGGGTGTCCATGGGCCTAATTAGCCAGCTTCTAGCGGAGTTCTTGCGTTTTTCACATTTTGAAAGTAGCACAGCCTCAAAAATCGCCTTCCGGATCGTCCGACACATTCGAGAGGTCATAGCCTTATTTTTTTTGCGGAATAAGCCTGGTAAGACGCTGCCAAAGGCGTAATTCGCACCACGCAGTGAGTCATGCGTTAGTCCGCAACCATGCACAAACGGGGCTTGTTCTGGCTGCTCTCCAGTTCGCTCCCTCCAAAACGCCCTATCCTTTGCAGGAATTATAGCTAAAGATAAAGGGTAGGACGAAGAAGATGAACTCGAAGTTCAAGAATCCCCGTAAAGGGTAATTTTTTTCTGGAAGCGTTATACTGTTACAAGGTTGTTTCCTATAAATTTTGTTTCCGTTTTCGTAGAATTTTGCGAAACGGAAAACTGACTACTTTTCCAACCCTCTGACACTGGCTATATATTTTTTCTTCTTGCTTCAAAAAATGTTGGTGGTTTATTGTCCTAGATGACAGCGACGTTGAGCTGGAAGGTATGCTACCGGACGAGATCACCGATGAGATTGAGGAGATGGCCGTGGCAGGCGAGACTGAAGGCGAAGATTCGCTCGGCGACATTGAGGACCACCCATCTCCTCATTGAGGCGTAGCTTTTTTCTGTAGCTCTATGAAATTCCCATCTGGGGCACATCATTGGCTGGGGATTTTAGTCGAGTCTGTACGACCCCTCCCCTTTTTTTGGGGTTGGTACGACCCCCCCCCCTCCGGCCTCTGTCCCTCCTCATTCGAATCGAGGCCTAGAGGAGGGGCGAGGTTGGGTGGAATAGGCACATGTGAACTGGAAAGGGCTGGGAGGACAGATACGACCGGGGGTGAGGCCCCCCCTTCTCCCAATTTCCAGATTTTCCCAACTTCCTGCCACTTTCTTTTCCCCAAAAATTTTGCGGTGTCGAGGCGGAGCGCAGGGGGAGAGGAAGGAGGGGATGGGTGGATATAGTAGTACGCATGAAACAGGGAAAATCACGAACTCAGAAAAGGAGAACCAAACGCTCCGAGCAACGCCAAAACGACGGTTAAATAATAGCCCCCCCTCCAATAGGTGGCCAAGTACGACACCCCTTTCTTTTTTTACAACGTTCCGCGAAGCGAGAAAAACCAACTATCAACAAATTTTTCCCAGCCCAAATACGATCTCCCTTCTCATAGCGGCCAAATACGTCCCCGCCCCTCCCTGTTGGGGATTTCCCCAACAACGAGTGCCCTGATTCCTGTAGAATGATTGTTTGATATTTCAGAAGAGGAACGCGATTTCACTAACCGGTCTGGCATTCCCCACTATTCACGCTTCCGAATCCAGTGATGAGGAGTTTGACTTGAAGCTGAGAAAGCCTGCACCTACGAGGAGGAAGCGTCAGAAAGGAGAAGGACCGACAAACAACGGTGCAGCGCCTGAGGTGCCCACAGAGGCCGAACTGATACCGGCGCCGCCCCGACGTCGTCGCAATGGTCGTCCTGATTCGTTCGATGATGAGTTCGAGCTATTACAATGACCAGTTGATTACGAATAGCCATAGCTGCTGTAGTGGTGCTTTCTATAGGCGTTGACGTCCTTTTGCAATGTCCACAGTTGTACTGCACGATGGGCTAGTGCCATGGGGTCAACGCCAAGGGTAATGATTGCTCAGCACCGGACAACTGCCACAAAGGGAAAACAACCTTTCGTAGAGGAATGCAGGGCCACTACTGGGTGCCATGTTCGGTCTGAACAATTTCTTTTTACAAGCCTTACTGTGTAATGGCGTTTTGTGGATTCTAATGCGCTTCTTGCTTTATTTCCACCATTAATAATTGTATAAGTATTACTCAGATTTTTATCAGTAGTCATGAGCTGAAATAGACGACGAGACGAATTTGAAGGGCCCCAACTGGGATAACAGCAACGATCGGATCATTATTTTCCCTAAGAAAACTGGCTTCACGCATTCTTTCATAGGGCAATGTGGAAGAAGGACCAGCTGCATTCATAGAGTTTCTCGAGCGGTCCCTAACGTCTTCCACGACCTCATAGCGCGCTAAACTAGTGCAGTGAGTTTTCTTTGCTCTAGGAAACCCAATGAAGGGTCTGACAAGCGCTGGTATTCAAATCGTATAACTTCCGTCCCATCTCGTCTTGGATCCCTTAACGAGCATTGTCACACTCTGGTTGTTGGTCAGGAGATCCACGCAATGATGACGCGCTCC